GAGTGCATTGTTCCCAAATATCCTTGAATTCTTACAAAATTACAGTATTGTGCTCCATTCTGTATTAGTGGGTCTTCTTTAATTATAATCTTTAGTTTTTTCTGGTTCCTTCTAGTGTCTAACCTTCAAAGTCCCTTCTTATTGTGTTTTTTTCTAATCAAAAGCATTTTCCCATGGGAAGGTTTCTTAAACTCAAAATCTTCATACATTTTTTTATAGAATTCTAAACAACTCACAGGAAGGATTCATGTAGTTTTGAAGGAGTTTCTGAGAAGAGACAAAGAGAAAATAAAAAGGAATCAAGTTCTGGGACATTATTTAAAGGAATTAGATCAAGATTGTTAAAAGCAAAGGGAAGGAATATAAAGTAGGTTTATTTGATGAAGGTTAAAATATATATGTTGTTGTTTCTGGTAACTCTTAATGGAGTTTTGCCAACCAGGACTGAATGACAAGGCTTTAAATATTTGTTTATAGACATGAGATATGGGAAGAATTCCTTTGTTGTATTTTTAGAGAAAATGATAAGTTACTGTGTTAAAAGGAAAGGAAAGAAATATAAAGTTAGTTTATTAGATTAAGGTTAAAACATTAAAATGTATATGTTAACTCTGATAACTCTTAATGGACTTCTGCTTGTTAGGACTGAATGATGAGGCTTTTAGGATTTTTATAGATGAGATATGGAAAGAAAAAAGCTTTTGTTGTAATATCAGAGAAGGTGATAAGTTATTGAAATTGTTTGAACTTATGATGAAGGGGGAAGTTATCTCTTTATATATCTTTTTTCCCTATATGTATAGGAAAGGAAAAAAAGGAAGAATAACTAAAAAGTGCAGAGAAATATAGCACAGCTCAGAAGGTCATTGGGAACAACACCAGAGGCTCAAAACACCAGTTGCTCATAGATAGAGCAGTTACACAAGATTCAAGGTCTAGGCAGACCAATCTGAGCACAGCCTGGATTGATTACAGGAAAGCCTATGACTCAATGCCACACCCATGGATCTGTGAATGCCTGGCGCTATACAAAGTCAACAGGACACTAAGGACCTTCCTCAAAAACTGGAATGGGCTGTGGAAGACAATACTGGAAGTCAACTCAAAACAGCTTGCACAAGTGGCCATCAATTGTGACATATACTAAGGTGATGCACTGTCCCCACTGCTGTTCTTCATAGGCTTAAACACCCTCAGCCATAAAATCACAAGGATTGGATATGGGTACAGGTTCACGAGTGGAA